CCAGTACTGTCTCCTCGAAACACAACGCCTATATTAGTGCAAATTCAAACTTCATTAGCATCGACGAATATCATCCACCATTAGAAGAAGCATCAATTCCACTTCTCTTCGCTGCTGCTGCCGCCTTATCCAGTTTACCCCTAGTGTTGTTGTCCCACGTCACACCTTCACAAGAGCCTTCAGACTTCCTCGGTGCCATCGACTTGCGAGGACTCGACAGAGTGAAGTCAGCTGGGAAGGCTTCAGGGGCTACAGCACGGCCCTGTTGCCGGCATTCTCTCAACCATTCTGAACGAACTTGAGGACATCTGCATCCCGCTTGAGCTGAAACACACATAACTACAAACAAATAACAACAGTCAACTTACCAACAGAGGAGCGTTTCAAATCGCCCAAAAGCACAGCCACCCTAGTCTGTAGGCAATCCATCGGCACGCGATGACCGGGCCAGCCAATCGACCGAGCAGCTCCAGTGGAGTCGATAAGAGCGTCCAACTCCGACACATCTTCAGCTTCGCCCTCGATATACACCGTGAATCTGAAAGCATACTCCAAGGTCATCATCGACCGCGGGAAAACACCCTTACCCCCGGAGTGGTAGAATCTCCGACCCCCCGAGAGATTTCCGCTTCGGCTCCTGTTGGAGCACCAGTGTAAAGGGTTGTTCAGAAACTCTGAAGGCGAAAACACATCGACGATGCGTTATGTTCAATTCAAATAAAGTTCATCATGTAGTCCGAAATAACTCCAAACCACTGCTCGTTTGGGAACATTTCCAGTTAGTAATCATATCGGATACGCAGACATTCTCAGTTCCTTGCTTGCTATTATGAATAACGTCCATCATCCTAGGAATAGTCTCCTCTCTAGCAAACGTGAGACGTCGAGAAAGCCGAAGAGATACGGTTGGATCGAGTCCTCAAATGCTGATTTGTCCATTCTTGTCAATTACTTTGCTGCAATAGTTTGCTGTTATTCGACTATACTTATATTAATTATTATTATCGAGTTTACTCACCTTTCCCCTTGCCTGAGGCATGCATAAAGCCACTCCGTGAAAACGATAATAGCCTTACACTTCTTCGCCCAATTGATGAGATTCTGTCGAGTCGTCACTTGCGCACTATCATAACAAATAACATGCGATATTCTGATTCCTGGATTCGAATTACGAACCTCTGCCGTAGTATACCTAGACCAGAGCATTCACCACTTGCACGCATGCACAAACCTTACGCTCTTCCCCCTAGAGCCCTCACTAGACGTTTCGTCTCCTCAAAAATGTCCTTATCCTTATCCGTTAGCATAGCTGATACCCCAGTGAACCTTTAAAGACTACTATTGATAGTAGAAAACAACATATTCCCCTTGTCGAGTGATGCAGTTGTGATTTTCACATCACGACCAAGGGCTGTATATCGCGTGTAAGGAGCCTCTTCACGTAAGGAGCCTCTTCGTGTATAGCGCGTGTCACTCGTCTTCCGCGAAGCGACGTAATATTCCACGTGAAAAACCGGACGTGAAGTGAATTGAAAACACTTGGTGAACTAATCACTCTATTTCGCGTATTTTACACGTTATTCTCTGCTAATATGCGTTTCACGTCAAGTGATATGTGAGATATATTCTTCACTAGTGTTTTTCATATCACGAGTGAAACTCCATTGTATCGACCACAACTTAAGAGCCTCTTATGAGCGACTCCTGTTGAGCTTGTCATCGTGGAAATGGGAAATAATATAACTTGCTCACCTCGGTAACGGCAGCCGGGAACAACAGGGTCTATAGAGGACACTGGATGTAACAGGGAGCATTCGTTGGCTCTCAGCACAGGCCAGGACCTAACCATCGATACTGTACGAGTTTCCTGTCATGAACATACCCATCTAGCCGAAACTTGCAAGCTATCCGTCGATGCATTGGGCGGAGCGGAGGTGCCGTCCTCAAGTACATACGCGAATACATTATCTGTTAACAACAATGAAAACTACAACAACCTCATTGAAGTAGCATAAAATTGTTTAATACATTATCAATGCATGAACAATACATTATCAATGCATGAACAATACATTATCAATGCATGAACAATACATTATCAATGCATGAACAAAACATTATCAATACATTATCAATACATTACTCAAGACCAATGAGAACTACAACAACCTCCGGAAGTATTCCACATTGACTTACTTGTGCCAAATCCAGTTAAAGCCTCGAGACTCGCTCCGTGATTCTTCAACTGCATAGCCACAGCTCGTTCTTTCCCAGTGTCCGTGAACCCCAATACGACCTAAATCACCTCAACTATACCACACCTTTCTGGAATCACATTCGCATATACAAACATCAATTCAGCGATGTTGGTCGAATTGTAGTGAATTGAACCGGATCAAAGGACTCTTCTCGTGGATAGCATCAGCAGGCTTTTTTGAAAAACCAACATAACTAAATCTAGAAATGAAACAAGTAGATTAAAGAATGAAAACAGATATTCGAGATTCAAGAGTAATATCTATAAACCAGAAACAGGACAATCCACAAGTATCGACAATATTACCAATAATATATACAAATACCAATAACAACAATACTGGTAATGGAGTTTCACCCGTTTCACACGAAGTGGCGTAGAACTCTGTGAAAAACGCGATATTCGCGGTGATATGCACTGCATATCATGCAGTAGTCGTAAAACATGTTTTTCACTACTGTTTTTTCACATCACTAGGGTGGTGAAACTCCAATAAATACGA